AAGCTTGCCTCAGGTATGCTTTTATCCACACCTGACTAGGTGTGGCCAATTAGCACCAGCTGAAAACACTGAGACGATTAGAAGCTGCAGAGGGACGTAACAGTCACCAAAGCGCCGCAAACTCAGTGCGCTCAGTTTATCAGCAAAGTGCGCATTTGGGAACATTGTTGCGCTGACTTGGTTCAACATTACTTGGCAACAGGGAAAGTGAGGCAGGTTGCACTGGTGCATTTGTGACAGCTTCACTTGAAATGCCTTCACTGCATCATACATGCCATGTCCATGTCCTTGCTGAGCTCAAAAACTCTATTGAGAATTTTTCCCCAACTCAGCCAGCGGACCTCTGTATGATAAGAAATGTCGGTAAACTCAGAATTTATTTCCCACATAAAAGACTGAATTTGACAGTGATTTAAACCTTTAGTTCGGATAAAATTTGCGGTTTGTGTTACGGTGATCATTACATGCTCCATTTTTGGGACTTTACCACACAGCGTTTCCTGGTGTATGATGCCGTGATATGCTGTTAACTCACCGGTACATTTCTCCTGCATCTTTACTCGCATCCTGCTGACTAGTCCACTTTTTTCACCACACAGCACCGGCGCTCCATCTGTTGTAAGTCCAACAAGTTTGTCCCTGGGCAGTTTCATGTCGGTTACACTTTGACATACGTTTCTGCTCAGGCTCACATTTGCCAAAATCTGCGTTTTGTCTGGACACAAGACGTCGCACACCATCACGCAGCTCTTCAGAAACTCTCCCTCGGTAAATGGCCGGGCTGATTTGGCTATCTCCTCTGCTACAATAAAACTTGCTTTCACAACAGCTTCACTTTGTGATTTTGCTCTGGTGAAAAACATCTGCTGAAATGTCAGATTCTTCTTTAGCTCTTCTACTTTCTGTAGTTTCTGCATTTAGGTTTTTCAGCTTATCCTGATGTTTTGTCTCGTAGTGCCGTCTTAAATTAGATTCCTTAATTACAGCCACATTAGCTCCACTAATAAGACACACAGGTTTACCGGCAATGTTTGTAAACATATATTCAGTCTTCCACCGGTGCTTAAAGGCTCTGTTTTCAGAATCAACTTTTCTCTTCGCCATTGTAAGGGGCTAGCT